TTGTATTTATTGGCACTTGGAGCTTGTATTTATGTAAGTGTACCTGGTTTGGCTGCCATGCAATGCTGTTTTTTTAAGTTTGGGGGCCAGAGACAGATCAGATTTTGGATTAGGCAGAACTGAACTTGGAATTTGGATCCACACTTTAACTGTGACTTTGTTAACCAATCTAAGCCTCAGCTGCACATCTGTAAAATGTGACAACGATTACCCTACCTCAGAATTGTGGGATTTGAGGGTTCTGTATCATAACTCATACTGATAGAGGAGATAGGGTATGTTAAAGCTGGCTGGGAAAATAAGTGGGACTTGTCGATTATGAGATCCAAGGCAATGTGAGGACCCCATAAATACAACTCACAGGCTCCCGCGAGATGTGGACAGCATAACAAGCCTGTCTTTCATGGAAAGCCACTATCATGCATGAGTTTCCACAGTAGCCCATGCTGTGTACTTTTATTTTTGCTTTTACCCTCCTTTTCTCTTTGTTCAGCCCATGTACGCTCTGCGGAGCTGGTTTCTCTTATAACCATTTATCCTGCACTTTTCAAATAAACTTTTTTTTTTTTTGTACTGGGGATTGAACTTGGGACCTTGTGCTTGTGAGGCAGGTGGCAGAACAACTGGGCTAAATCCCCAGCCCTTAAACTTTTTTGTTTTGTTTTGTTTTATTACTGGGAATTGAACTCAGGATTTTGTGCTTGCAAGGCAGGTGTGGTGCCACTGTGCTAAATCCTTGGCCCTCAAGTAAATTTTTGACACTGTTTTTGGCTTGTCTTATCCAATTCTTTGCCCAAGGAAAGAAAGACATGGAAGACTTTTGATCGCTGAGCCATTTCTAAAGGAACTACCCTATAACAATATGTCACTTTCTGGTGCTTATAACTTATTTAACCTTTCCATATTTCTGTTTTCCCAAGTGTAGTATAATAACAAAGAGGTGGTTTAGTCTTTGGCATGCTGTGAGAATAACTATATGATTATTACACTGAGCCAGGTATACAAACTTGTGAAATACTACCCTTGTTTTTCTATCATGATGATCATCTGAGATGTAATAGTTGTCACAAAGAAATTAATGACCAAAAGATACTTCCTCCTTATTCTCTATTAGCCTAAACTCAGACCCCAAATTTCTCAGATTTGAGAAACTGATTGAGTGAATATTATCACTGACTGAGAAATGGCCAACTTTTTATTATGTTTTAAGAGTGAAAATAAAATTAGTCAACTTCAAAGAGTATACTTAAAGAATTTAGCTTATAAAGATTTGAACTTAACCCATTTTCTGCTTTTAAACTTCATCTTTAGTAAAGATTTCCTTTTATAAAAATCATAAAGTACATTTGGAGATATTTTAGTTTGGTTTTTTATTTTTTGGGTTTTTTTTTTTTTTTTGTGGTACCAGGGATCGAACTCAGGTCCTTGTACTTGCGAGGCAGGCCACTGAACTGCTGAGCTAAATCCCTGGATGAAGATATTTTAGTTTGAAAGGGGAGTAGTAAGATTTTTCTGGGAAAAGAAAGTATAGTTGAAGTCTCATTTTATTGATGCAACTACTCAATAACTTGTCACCTGAAATTTCTTCTTTGGCTTTATTTTGTCCTGAAATGAAAAATGTTTTACTCACATAAATGAGGGGTTTTAGGACTCTAAGTATAAATCTCAACCTCCTGAAGGACAGACCATCATATTTTGAGAGATGTTCATAGCAAAAATATTACTGGTTCTCAAAATATTTCACTTTTTTTTTTTTTTTTTTTTTTTTT